ATTGTGACTTAAGGAGCCGCCATATTTATTTCAAAGTGTTTTAACAGACTTCCTCATGAGCGCCGTGAGGTTAGGGTTAATGGTTAGCACACATTGAATGAAAATACACAAAAACATATAATAAATCAAATAGCATAGCAGTCTATGGAAAATAAAAAGTCACAAAGATGCAGATTGTGATGTTTACTTAAAAAAAAAAAGGTTTTGAAGACAAAAAAATCAAATTAAAATAGTAAAAGTAAATTTAATTTAATTTATGTTATAAGAAAAGCCAAAGGCAGCAGCATCAACCATGTTGGTCAAATTATTTCTTGTTGTTAGATTACTGTTATTAAATAAATCATTTAGTTTGGACTTAACAAGAAACATTTTAAGATGAGGTTTCTATAAATGTCAAGAGGGTATATAACAAAGAATAAATACTAAACAAATTATTCTACTCTAATGCAGTAACAGATCGTTATCTGTATAACTATTGAAGAGAGAGGATTCATTAAATTTTTAAAGCCCAGAGGGACATCGGTGTGCTCTGACCGTCAACAGAAAGAAAATGGAGAGGAAGGGATGAGGGTGAGGAAAGAAGGCAGAAAGCTGTAGCTACCTCTTTCTGGCGAGCGCAGGCGTGCCCCACGGGGAGGGCAGCGAGGTTTCATGAGTCAGGCAGGGAGGCACCTGCTCTGCACGACTGCATGACAGCACATGCCCGCAAACAATGAAACAGGTGACACACACACATACACAGAGCATAGGGTTCATTCATAGCCCGCACACACAAATTTATGTGCAGCCGTGCAGGTAGCCCAGACCGAGGATGATCAGCCGGTCAGCACCAGATGTTAGGAGGAGAAAAGAGAAAGAGAGGAAAAAAAGGAAAGAAGTTGTTAGTGGAAAGACTACAGAGAAAACTAGATCAAAGTTCCGGTTCGGAGAACATGCACTTAGATCTGCTCATGGCTTTTTATGTAACGATTGTTGAAATGACAGGGAAGAGGTTCCAGTGGAGAGAAAGCATTTCAGTTCAACAGCTTCTCCTCCATTTGTCAGAATAAACACATGAGCTTCGTTTTGTTTACCCTTTTTAAATTGTCTAGCTTGCCAGCTTATCTCGCACCAAAACGAAAAGGTTCAAAGCAGTGACCCTTTGGCATCCCTGTCCAGAATACGCTTCACTCTAAACTACTACGAGCTTCATGACTGACAGAGTTCAGATAAAGATCTCTGTGGAGAATGGAGGGGAAAAAACAGTAGATAAACCTGGAGAATGTAAACCTAAAGATCCGTTTTACAGCACCCTGATACCCTGAGCTGTTCAGATGGTTTTCACTTCAAAGCCTTCCTCTGTTTTCCCATTAATGATAGGAACTTTAATGTGCATCAAATGACATTGGTTGAGGCAACAATTAATTAAAAAAGTCAACCAAAAGCTCTGCAGACTCAACACAGCTAATTATAGGACTCGTTATTAGCATTAGATTGAATGTTATTCAATTAAACTGTAAGTAAATAGATATATTCTCTCCTTTAGCACTCTGAGATTACTAACATTTCAAATTGGAACAATACTATTTGAGCCAAATTAAATAACATTATCATTTCTCAGTAGAATTGCTATGAACTGTAATAGCATCTGTCGAAGCACAAAGCTGGCAGCAGAACAGATAAATCACCGGCCATGTTGAATAATCAGATAAACCCTGTGATCTAATGCATCAGAAACATCAGCAGTCCTGTTCATTGCTCAGCTAACCGCCCTCTGTCACATGGCCTCTCCTTTATTTGCATGAGAGGCAGGCAGTTGTGTGGTGTGAGCCGTCTCTGACCCAGAGGAACTCAGCAGACCAAATGAATAAAAATCAACAGTAAGCTCAACAAACTTTGAGAACATTTTCTCTAAGCACACGGCTTTAGTCTGCTAACCAAATGGCTTCACAACAAGCAACATCCGAGCTGGGCTCCAAGTCTATCAAACAGAATATCTGAACTTAATGTTGGATCATTCCAATTTGAACCTCTCAGGGTGCAGCATGAGGGCTTTCATATGTCACCCACCTGTCGAAAGAGTCGGTGGCCATCTTGTATAGGTATATGAAGAGCTTGCTGCAGTGTTTCAGTGTTGGACAGACGCTGTCTCCGGAGCAGCTCCCTGAGGAAGCCTCGTCCTCCAGCAGCCTCTGGAATGGCTGAGCGTTGGAGGGGAACACTCCTGTGGGGCCCAGCTTCTTCGTGTCAGAAAAGCAACCCAGCAGCCTGGAGGATAAAACGAAAAGAGAAAAAAAAGTTTATTATTAATCATTTTAGAGGAAAGATTTAGGTGTTAAATAAAAAAAAGTGGAGCCATTGGAGTCTGCCCTACTTTACTAATCATCTAAGATGGATCTTTGTATGTTAGAAATTAAGCAAAGTCTAGCTATATTTATGAGGGGAAAAAAAAGCTTTTTGGAAAAAAACACTTCTAAAACTTTCTAAAAACAATAAACATAACTATGAGTGTTAGCATATTCTTAGCCCCCTGATTTCAAAGCATAATCACCTAACAATTTCCGCAGAAAGAGAGTTTCACTTGTGCTAAGAAAAGAGGAATACTGCTGAGAAGATACTGTTTATTTCTCAGAAATAGTTCAGCTATTTATATACAGTTACATAAATATATTGATCAAATTATACAAATGATACTCGCTACTAAACACCAGCACTTAAATATTTTTGCTATTGTTAGTTTCAGATTTCTGGATTATTTGCACATTAGAAGGATAAAACGTCAGATAAGCTTCAGATATTTTCTAATTGTGTTATATTCTATACAATATCTATTTACACGCTTAGTATCTGGGATTCTGTTGAGAAAGGACATCTGTGTTGAGAACGAAAATGGTGAGTTTTAATGTTGACAAAATTACTTTTTATTTTAATTAGCCATCATGTTTTTTTTATATCCATAGTGTTGAGCATTTAAAAAAAAATATAAAAAGACCCCACTTATAGTGATAAAATAAAGTTACGGATATATCAGAGTAAACAGACATGGCCAACAAGGAAGAAGCAATGGAGATGCAGAATGAAAAAACTAGCATAACAAAAGGTATTTGTTAAAGGATTGAGACTGTACTTGCTAAACTGTTGTGTGTGTGTTTTTTTTTCCTCAGCAAGGCTTTCGGATTGGCCACACGTCTGTTTCTGTGTGCGCTCAGGGAACACGCTACGATATCAGGCCAAGCCAACATGTCAGAATTCCAGACATCTATCTGAGCACCCAGAAATACTTTAAACTCACTAAACAAAGGAGGATTGTCGCAAAAGATTACCTTAAGAGCCTCAGATGAGGAAGATCAGGGTCAAAATTTGGCAAGATTATGTAGCCGTGGGAACCCTGATAAATGTGCAAGTATAACTCATACATGAAGGCAGACTGGTCAGGATTACCTCACAGCATCGGCCAGCTTCTCGTACTGGATCTCCGTGCGGAAGAAGTTAGAGTTGGCCGGCTCGTAGCGCATGGCCGCCGTGAGCGTGCAGAAAACCGTGAGCAGGAGCTCGAAGACTTGGTTCTGGTTGACCCGTTCCCAGCCGTGACGAGGAGGCTGGCAGAGCGAGCGCTCCATGGCCACCAGGAGGGAGGTGACGTAGACGAAGCCGCCCACTTTGCGGAACACCGTCCGAGTGCGGTGACTCTCACGCAACACGGCCAACAAAGCCTAAAGACAGGAAAGATCACGTTTGGTGGTCACATTGTAAAAACTTCCTTTAGGATAAAATGTCTACTGTTTAATATATTCTGATTTTAAATAAGCAATAATTTTTGCATTTGTTAATATCTAATACATAGTCAAATAAGTTCTAATCAACCAATCAATCATTGGGTCGTTAACAGCCTAACTGTGGCCCAAGTGGCCCACAATGAATGCCTGCTACAGCTTTATTCCTCCTAACAATATAAATGGGATAGAAGAGACCCATAAGAGCAAAGAAGAAGTAAAATGGTGATGTGTTGCGTCACTGAGCCAGCTGTTTCCCGCTACATTAAAAAATACAGCCAGAGTCAGCAAAAAGTTTTATGAAACCAATCATAGAATGTCGCAGAGGTTCGCTTCCTCCCAACTCCATGCTGGTAAATCACCACCAGGCTGCAGCTGTGCACTGATAAAGCCACTGAGTGAGGCTTCGATTTCCACAAGCACCGAGGAAGCGTGGACAGATTAATGCAACGCATCCTTGATAGATTTTCCCTCACATGTAAAAAGTGAAATGATGACTTTCACAAGGCTAAGCCAAAGATTTATCTGAATTATTTTAGTGTTACAGAAAAGAGCATATTTTCATGGACTTAAACAGGATAGGAGCTTTATGCTGATAATTAAAATCAGTGATTAGTGAAATGAAAAAAGAAAAAAAAATGCTGACGAGCTAATCCGAGCGAAGCCCTCAGAAGGCATGAGATTCACTTCATCTGGGGGGAAGGAGTTTAAAAATGCAATTATGCCTGAGAAAATGAGCTGGCCTCTCATCCTGGCTGGGAGTGTGCGGAAGAGTGTGTACTGTTTCAGCTTTTATGTGCACCTAACTCTGAGAGATCCTGCTTTGAAGCAATTACTGTGTACTGTGCTACAAATGCATATTGATTTTTGAAATCACTCGCTTTCTTGTTTCAAGGTTCCTGCTAGAATTACTGACGAGTTTGTGTAGATGTAGACTTTAGTTTGCTCTATTCCCTGTGGCTGCATGGTAATTAAATACGTAAAACAGTCAAACAATTAAAGGTGAAACAAGCAAAAGTATAAAACTACCAAAATGCATTTAAATAATAAACAGAAATCCTTTTTTTCCCCCTATTATCTGATATTAAATAAGAATAAAAACCTTTCCAGATTTAAATGCCCCTATCTAAACAATTACTATTAGCTAAAAGCCAGCAAGAGAAAGTCCAAGCTACAAATGCATTACTTCAGTGTTCAAGTAGTCCTGCTCTTTAAACTGTTTGCCTTCAGTTGCGTGTTTTGAGGGGTTCTCATATGTTTGCTCTAATTTCAACTTAATTTCAGATTTTCTATGAGACATCAGGCCTTTTTTGATGACCATTCCAGAACATTGATGTCCTTAAGTCACTTGGTAAATAACTTGGTAATATGCTAAAATTAGCTGTCCATTTGGAAGACCCTTTAATCCTAACTAATATTTTACATTGAAATGCTTCAATTTTAGTTTCAGCAGAACAAAGACTCAGCTCCAAATGTGTGTCTCTTTGTCCCTTTAAGTATATTTGGAAACTTTAATCTGGATTTGTGTGTTTGGGAGCAATGGCTTCTTCTTGCCGAGCGGCCTTTCAGCCCAAGTCGAAGGAGGTCACATTTCAGGGTGTGTTCTGATAATGTCTTCACAGCTTCTAACAGTTTCTTTGCAGGGTCATTTTCTTTTCTTCTGCTGTAGATTTACATGTTTTGCAACAAAACACACTTCAACTGTGTAACAGCAAACCTCGTTCTCTTCCCTGAAAGGCATGAAGGAAATTTCGGTGATGTTTATATATGGATCAAGCAACTGGTACCCAAGTTAATACTGACCAGTTGAGGTCCAGATTTCTCTTCTTGATGTTTTATCACATATTTTGATTATACACAAACAATAACAGGTGTCTCTTCAGTTAATCCAGTTAGGTGCATCTCCATAAATTATGAAATTGTGCAAATTGTCATTGCAAAAATAAATGTGCTAAATGGAAATACTGCAATTTCAGAAGAAAAAAAAACTCACGTTTCTCGACAAAAAGGTTTTATGGTTTGGTGAGGCAGTTTTTCAGTCATATTGAAGTTGTCATATTTTTTACATATCTGCAATAGAAAAGCTTTTTTTTTGTATCATATGTGTCACATGATCTGAAAATAGATTTTACTGACTTTTAAAAGATGACCAGAACAATTTGGAGAATGTTGGTGCCCACTATACATGTAGATACATGTGTGTTTACATCCACCGCTGCCATGTTGCTTTCAGAGTTACTGCATTATCAAATGCATTGAACAGGCAATTCTAACTGTATTTGTTATAATTGGAAATCTGCAACTGCAAAATTTAGCATTTTCAAATTTAGAAAAAATATTAACATTCTTTTGCGCACATTTGCAATGGAAATACAGCTAATTGTTGGGAATCAGAGAATCAGAAACTTACAAAGCCTTGAAATCATCATCAGTGCATACATTTTTTTTTTATGTATAGCAATATAGGTACCTTTTAAGGAACTTTTAAGAAAGTTGTAATTTTTGCATTGAGCATTAGAAATAATTTAGTAGCTGTCCATTTAAATAGTGTCAATGCATCCTAACAAACATTCCTGTAAATGGTCTACAGAGAAGGTAGGTTTGTGTCGTTACCCTCAGGATATCGGTCTTCAGCTGCAGCTCGCTGGGTGGCGCCGAGTGCATGAGGCCTAGCAGCGTTCCCATGTCATCATCACCACTGGGGGACAACACCAGCTGCTGGATGATGAGCAAGGCGTGTTCCCGACATTGACGGTACTTCACGATGTTGTGGACGCAGCGGGCGCCACCGAACTCTCTGAACAGCGCTGTAAGGGAGTGAGAGAGAGAAGGAGGGAAAAAAAAAAGAGGTCAACATAATGCAACAACCTGCTTTCTGTAGTTTTCGCCACATTATGTGAAATTACAAAAGCGAGATATAGATAAGTTAGCTTAACTGATTGAAGCTCTCTGTGAGGCTAACACTGGCTTTAGAGCACAGCTACACTTTTTTAGTCCAAATTATTGTTTAGTTTAAAAAACAGTCACTATTTAAAAGTCAGTGCTTTTGGCACAATGTGGCTGCTTCTGAATAAATTCAAAGCAAAACGTGTGAACCAGGATGTCGAGTTTTAGCAAAAAGGCAAAACGGCTGAGTTACAGAAATATGCCAAGAGTTGAAACAAACAGCAGTAGAATTAATGTTTATTAAATCAAATCAGCAAAAATCCTATTTTCATTTTTAGCTGTTCACAAACAATTTTTTCTGCAGTTAATGTTTGATTAGATTTACTGATAAAAGCAGCCTTCCATTCTCGAGGTTAGTCTATAAAGCTGCTTCCATTTCTATGGCTGTAAATCAGATTGTTTCCTACAGGCATGACCTTAGATTTTTTTAAATGCAGGATGAGGAATGAAATCCTTGAACTGTCAAACATTTGTCCTCGTCAGAGCGCCAGCTAATAGCTGCAGGTGCGTGATGCAAATGTAATCAGAGTGAAGAAGCTGCAAATATCTCCCACGTCAATGATGACAAACATTCATTAAGAGGGTCGCAGAGAGCCGAGCTGCTGGATGGTTATTTCTGTGACTCACCGAGTCCCACACACCAGCAAACACAGGAGGTCTGAATGATACCAGCTTTTCAGATTAACAGTTTGTAGATTTTCTGCATCCCTGTTTTTAGGGTCTTTTCAGGGGGATTGTGAACATGACATGCTAGTTCTGGAGATTTGAATATACACCCTCTGCCTGGAGTCTAAATCCTTTTTTCTATGACCACTGAGAAAGATTCTGCATGTGTGTTTGCAGGGTGTTAGTGTGTTTACCTGCATTAGTGTTGGTGGTGTTGGAGCCCTGCAGGAGCACAGTCAGAGTTTCCATCACCAGCCAGGCCAACTGCTTCTGCTCCTCCGCTATGGGGTGGTTTTTACTATCAGCTAAGTGGAGAAAGAAAACAGCCAAACACCATAAACAGATGGAAATAACCCACACATTAAAAATTCTGTGGTTTTCCCTGAAGATACAGTCTAATAAAATGAAGTTCTGTCTGACAAAGGCACAAAATGAACTGCACTTTTAGTGTAATTCAGCCAATTCCAAACAATCTGTTTGGATTTTTTTAAATCTAGAACATAATTTTTTACATAATTTTTACATAATTGGCATAAATCCGTTTGATAGAGATGTTTTATTTCGCTACTAAGACTCTTTTTTTCTCCTAATTCCTGTTTATAAACCCGCTAATCTAAAAATGGGAAGCAATGCTTTAAGACTTTGATAAACAAAGAGAAAGGGCAATGTTCCTAGCTTCCCTGTCCCTGGAGGAAAGCACCCCCACATCATGATGCCACCGACACCATGTTTCACCATGGGGATTGGGTTCAGAGAGGTTGGTCATTTCAGATTTACATTTGCAGAGTCCTAAAGTTTAGTTGTGTAAGACAAAAAAATGTATTCATTAAAATACTGCGATATTTCATAAGTTGACTTTTGTATTAAGATCCAAATTAGGGCTGAAACAATTAATGGGATTAATCGATTAATGAAATAATCAACTAATTTAGTCATTATTTAATTATTAACTCGAGTATAGAGACTCTAATCGTGTCTTTAGCTGACAGAGCAAGCCACTTAGAGCAGTAATAACACCAAAATCGTAAAAAAAAAAAAAAAAATTTTAACCTTTTTGCTTTTAAAAGAAAAAACATTTTCGTCCATCAATATGCTCTATCCAGAACTGATAAAGTTGAAAAGTTTTATTTCCACCTGGTTTAATTTCAGAAAAAGGCTTCTTTAAGGAACCTTTTCTTATTCGATTATTAATCGATTAAACAAAATAAAAATCATCAACAGATTTATCGATTTGCAAAATAATCGATATTAGCATCCCTTATCCAAATGGATCTTACACATAAAAAAATAACATTTATAGGCAATCATCCATTTCATGGTCTTACTTTTATATAACTCCTTACCCTCCAGCCACTAGTTGGCAGCACATCATCCAAAAGTCTATTGGGTGATGCAGCAAGATATAAAAAAGATCTTGTGAGGTTTTCCAAAACTATATTACTATAGAAAAAAATAAAAAAAATAAAAATATATCATCTTTGTTAATGTATCGCAATACATTTTGATAAATGGTATTTTGATACATAGAGCATCACCAATAGATATGGTGCTTATTATATTTTACTTCTGCACTTCACACAGGAATAAAATAGTTGCTTTATTTGTAAGTAAACTTCAGCATTGAAAAGATCGCAAGATCACCAATGAAGTAATGGGATGAAAGAAGGTAGCGTTTTCCAGCATAGCAGTGAAAAGAAATAGTAACAGATCAAGTGATAAGAAGAAGGGAAAAAAAACGGAATCCAAGAGAAATAAGAGAAGATGTTGGTTCTGATTTTCTCATTGGGTTATTTTCTTATTGGAAGCTTGAAAATGGGCCAAAAAAACAAACAGTTGGATAAAAACTTTCACAGCTGATACAGTTTCAGATGTTTTTAAAAAGCAAGTCTATGATCAAAACTCTCCTTTTTTAATGTATATGAAAATAGGAGTTTGTACTTTTTGGCGTGTTGTTTTATTACAATCTTTTCCACTTTTCATTCAAACTTAAGCTTCAAATTAATCTGAACTGTTGCAAATAAAGAAACAGGAAATAAATCCTTGGTCTAGACTGAAAAAGTAATAAACACATTTAAATGAAATGTATTTTTGTTTTTTGTTGTTTTACGAAATGCTGCTGAATTTTCTTGGTTCATTCAAACGGAAATTAATCAAAAACTGTCTTTAGGATGAACTAGTTTTTGTCTGTGTGTGTTGTTAGATTTGAAATTCACCAATATGTTTTTTGTTTGGAGAAAATCCTTCTGAGTTTCTCAGAAATTCCTGAGAAATATGGAATTGCAATGTTTTTGCAAAAGTTTTTTTGTTTTTTGTTGTGTTATGAAATGCTGCTGAGTTTTCTGGGTTCATTCAAACAATAAATCAAAAACCTTATGATCTCTGTGAACCGATTCTTCTCACCTAGGTCATTGTTTTGCGGCTGGTGTTGAGAAGCTGGGTCCTTGAGCAAGGCAGCGTACTTGTGCAGCAGGTTGACCATTACCTCCAGCAGGCCGACCTCCCGCAGCACGTCGCTGAACACAGGGTCATGCCTGGCCAGCTTCAGCAGCGTTCTCACGGCGGTGATGCTGCAGGGGAGCGACGTGCTCGATTTCAGCAGCACGCAAACGCTGAAGAGCTCCTTACACGGCACGTAGTTCAGGCTGAAGACAACAAACTCCAGGAGTTCAAAGTACTTGGCCTGTGCCTCTGGGAGCTTGGCCACACGCTCCGCGAACTGTGACAGGGTGTGCTGGGACTCCAGGATGAAGTAGTTGGCCGGCTCGGCCGCATAAATGTTCCCGATGGCGTCCAGTAACATGCAGGCCAGACGGCTTGTTTTGGCCCTGAGGAAGGCGTTCTGGAGCACGGAAAAGGCCTGGATATTTCGAACTGTGTGACCTGCGGACAACAAGGGCAACTATTTAGTTGGGAAAAAAGTTTATTCGAGGAAAAATATCAGAAACCAGCAACCTCTGCAACAAAAAACACAATTGCCTTAGAGAAACAAAGACCTAAGCAGGATATTTGAGACCTTTCAAATCATTTGCACAAAGCGCTACATGCTGGAGGAAATTTATAAGACCTCCTGTGGTGGCTATCATCAGACACAGCACAAAAACCACACTGTGAGGATAAACATTCAGGTTTTGGAATTTATCTTAAAGACTCTCACCACTTTTTCTGGATAACTATTTTTTTCTTTTGCATGAGGAAAACTGATGTTCTGCACCATAATAATGAACAATCATAATAAACAATCATATCTATGTCAAGGATAAAACAACTAAGCATGAGCTTTAGAACCCATCTTTAAAGTCTCTTTATGCCTACATTTGGTTAGAGAGGCCAAAGAAACATAAAAAAAAAAGCTAAATCTTTAAATCAAAATTTGCCCCCCCACACACACAGTTAACCAAAATATTATCAGGGTAATCTTCGGGGGGAGAGAGATTTTAATTTTGTGTATGAAGCTTTTTGTAATGAATTAATATTTACCCCAAATACGATGCTATAAGCTTTATAAACCAGAATAAGATGAACCGGTTTGAGCAGCATAACTACTCTTAAATTATACCTTTTCCTATCATAAATGTTATACTTAGTGTTAAAATTATGTCTGAATGGATAAGTTTGGTTCTAGCTGTTGATTTAAAGTAAAGCTGAAAAGTTATGAATTTGCACGATGCAGCACGGCCAGTGGAGAAGAGGCAAAACCTCAGCATGAAGCCACCACCACCATGCTTAAGAGCATATTGTAGCTGAGCGAGAATTCAAAGCTCTGATCTTTTTTCCTGCTTAATCTGACTGATCCTTTTTTTTCCTCCATTAAATTTGATAATTTAAAAAAATCACATCACTTTCAAAGTCTTTTATTTTAATCACAGAGTCTAAGAGGTCACCTTAATTTAAAAAGTTGTGAATCATATTTAGAAAAGAGTCATGTGTCACAAGAAAAAGCTAGTGGTTTTAGACAGTCAGTAAGTTCATCAGCTATGAGAAGAAATCTAAAGTCAAAACGTGGAGCCTACGGAAGCCCAAGAAGTACATTGGTGGAAAAAAAGCTGCATATTATCCCTGTTTAAAATTTAAAACCAAAAACCATTTATCATATCCGCCTTCTTTTTAAGCTTCCTCGCATCTAAAAATCATTCTGATTTTTGTTTGCATTTAGTATTTTAAACATTTGTCTCCTAGCAGAAGTAAACTGAACTTCAGTCCCTCAAACTGAAGCACACAGGGAGGCTAAGTGAATCTGGCGCTTAATTAGGCATGTAAGCAGCCCCCCACCACCATCATGTTAAGATGTCTTAGCTTAATGACTCTCCACAGAGTCGGAACCCGTCATTAAGTGGGTAAACAGAGGAGGGCTTAAACAGGCCTTCCCACTCCATTCCATGTTTTTTTTCGGGCAGGTCAATTGAAGCATCCTCTGCAGACAGAGGATCGGTGTTTGACTGTGTCATCACCAGTTAGTGGAAAAGTCCTCAAAGACAACACAAAGCAAAAATCTGACACCTCAGTGTAAATTAGTAGAACTGCTGCCTTTATGGTAACATAGAATTATCTTATCTTAAAGCTATAAAGAAGCCTTTTCTGTAAAACCAACCAAGAGCAGACCACACAAAAGGTTAAGAAGTTTATGTTCAGGAGTTCTTATTTGCATTCAGAGGGGCTCAGCAGTGTGACGAGCAGCATGGTGTCTGCCGAACAGGTTGAGCTTACTGGGATCAGCCAAGCATCAAAGTAATTTCCAGATTAAGATCAGGCAGGGAGATAAAAGCAGGAGGGAAATGCAAGAAGAATTTTCTGTAAGTTGGCGCTTTAACTAATAAGTCTAAAACCCTGAAAAAAAGGGAATATCTAATTAGGATGGATGGAAAAGGGACATGAATGTCTTCACTTTGGACTTTGCAGAAATAAAAGCATATTTCTTGCCCACAGGCTCTTCAACTACAACCCAAAAACAAACCCAGATCAATTCATTGACGCATGTACATACAACATAAAAACAATGTTTAACTCTCAGGGGAATATTTAGCTTAATACAACTCAACCCTGATGAAAAACTTGTTCACTATTGGGAGAAACCAAACTGCTGAGTAACAGCAAATATCTTAGTACTGGACCTGATGCTTCTATCTTCATCATCATCTTTCTAGGATTACATATGTATGGGGAAGAGGCCACGGATCAACCCAACAATCAGACTCCATGGTCCCCCGCTGCTACAGGTCACACTTTGACAGATTTCTTTCCAGAAGGGTAAAAGATCCAACCGACAAACAATAGAGAATACGTGTCTCTCTACGTGTCTCTATTCCACATGGAGAGATGTCAACAGATGTCAAATCCATCATGTCAGATCAGGTAAAGCTTGAACATCGGTGAACAAAGCCTGCTGCACAATAATCGCTCTGCAGCTCAGCAGCGCTGTCTCTGAAGATTGTCGCCAGGGAGAGTACGGGTTTATCAGAGAGTTATAAGTGTGAAAAACATTTAGAGCAGAGAAAATGATTCCATATGGTTACAGAAATAAGAGCTGAGAAGACAAACTCTGCTGCTGAGCTACTGCCATGATGGGCATTGGCTTCCATAACCACACCCCTATGTTCGCACATCTGCATTACTCCAGGCACAATTTCCGCATGTATATAATACATCAGTTGCACAAATGTTAACTCCTCATCCTGCACAATGTTCAAGTTTATGTAGATCTGAAGCTTTTTATCTCTATCATATTGCTTGCTTGTACCTTTTTTTTTAATATCTACATGTATTTGATTTAGACTTTCATTACAGCATTTGATGTGGACAACAAGGTAAGAATTGCAGTGTACAGGTAACTTGAACATCTGACAGTAAACACTTTAATTAACCTGAAAATGGCCCATAAAAGCTCGTGGATTTATCCTTTTTAAACCTTTATCTGAACTTGGACGTCTAGGGTTAAGAGAAGTTGGCAGCCTGCTGGAAGATGAACTGAAGCTTTTTTCCAATGATTAAAAAAATTAAAAATGGTAAATAAAAAGGAGCGCTGTTTGTTTTTTATTTGATTAAATTAAAGTTACAAACTTTGCTTTTATTGAGCCATTTGGCTCTTATTGTCTCAAGCCTACTCTATGCAATACGGTCTCTGCTAGTTAATAATGAATGACCGTTCTAAACAGAAACATTTTTTAAGGGAAACAGACACTGACTAATGTAGTTCCTGAAAGCAGACGATTTGCAGACATGCGTGTGTAAATTCTCAGTCATCAGGGTCATGGCAACAACAAACAGGCTTAAATTGGAAGGCAACCGGACCTTCGCTCAGTTTTTGAAGACATTTTGACATCTACCCAGGAGTCTTTTTCTATTCTGTTGGCTCGCACCAGAGCTAAGAGCGCTGAGGTACTTAAGCAGCATGGAGGTTCATCCTCCTGCACTCATTCCAAGTTGGATACAAATCAAATAGCCACATCTTGTTCTTCTGGATTGTTGGAGCCTTTTGTTGGGCATGGACTGTTATTGGTCTGTTGAAATCTAATGGGAGTGCTCATGTAACTTCTTGGGAATTCCATGACTAAATTGTAAATGCTTCAAAGCTGAAACCAGAATCCTTCTCCTATGTTCAGTAAAAGCTTTTCTCTTTTCACATAGATGGCTTCCTTGACCCTTCTTTCAAGCCATCTGTCCTCCCTGTCCAAAATATGAACACTTTGGCCTCCAAAGTTGTTTCCTTTGTTCTTGATGTGCAAGTGTACAGTTGAATCCTTCCCAGAGCTACTGGCTCTCCTATGCTGTGCCATTCTATATGAAGTTGTTGTTTGGTTTCTCCAATGTAGGAGGCTGTACAGTCCTCACTGCAATGGATCACAAAAACAATGCTGCTCAGCTTAGGTTTGGGTGTTCAGTCTTGAGGATGAACCAGTTTTTGTCTGAGTCTGTTGTTGGGTTGAAATTTACTGGTATGTTGTGTTTGGAGAAAATCCTTCTGAGTTTCTCAGAAATTTCTGACATATGGAACTGCATTGTTTTTGCAACTCTCTGTTTTCTCCTCTGGGTTTGATGCAATGTCACAATGCTTCAAGTGATTTCCTAACATGTTTTTGATCCTTTCGTTTCTCGTCTGTCATTTAGAGAATATTGTAAGCCCTGTAACTCAGAGTTGTGATCACAGAAAGTGTATGTTCCAGCAGATGATGCAAGTCAAAATGAAGGTAATGGTTGGTATGTGTAAACCTCAGTATTAAGACTTCCATTGTCCTCAATGTGCACATCAGTCTAGAAAGGGCAACATGTTGTTCTTGGCATTTTCTCTGGTGTACTTGATGTTTACATCCACTGAGTTGATGTGATTGTGAAATGCCTCAAGTTCTTGGTTTTGGATTTTGACCCAGGTTTCATCCATGTATCTGAACAAGTGAGAAGGTTGTGTCCCCTTGTATGTGCTGAGTGCTCTGCTCTCTGCCTCCTCCACAAAGATATCGGCAACTATGGGTGAAACTGGGGAGCCCATGATGTACTCATGTTTCTGTCTTAAAAGTTATCACTGTATTTGAAGTATGGGGTTGATAGGCAGAGGTCCAACAGGTCACAAAACTGGTTAGGTGTTAAAGTGGTCCTGTCTTTTAGGGTTTCATTGTGTTCCAGTTGTGTCCTGTCTGTGTTTACTGCCTCTGATGTGGGAATGCAGGAGAAGAGAGAGATTACATCCAAAGAAACCATGGTTACACATTGAGTATGTCTCAAATGCTGGACTTCAGAAATAAAGCCTGTGGAGTTTTGTATGTGGTGTGGAAGTGTTTCCAACCAATGGAGCCAAACTTGCTGCCATGTGTTTTGTGATATTGTGTGACACGGAGTTAATACTGCTGACAATGAGCATGAGTGGGACCTTTTCTAGGCGTTTTTGGGAGACCATATAGGTGTGAACCTGAGTACAGTTTACAGTACAGAGAGAAACTGATGGGTTTCTCTCGTTCCAGTTTTTTGAGGTATTCTGTTACTTTATTTGTATAGATATTGGCTGGGTCCCTTTTCAGGGCTTCTTTAAGTATTAAGGCCTGATTATACTTCTGCAACCGCACACATCCAGTGTCGTTTGAATGTGACCATGAACCAGTTTTGCTGGTATGCTTCTGCACCGTCGGTCTGGAATTTCTAGGGATGCACAGCAGTTTCCCACCAAAGCGCAAGGGGGATTCAATTCTAGAACTCGCGAGAACTTCATTGGATGGTCACCGGAACTTTGGCGCCGGCAGGAGTGAATTATCTTCCAAAACAACAATGGCGCGTCTGCAACATGTCACGGAGATGGATCTAGCATTGCTAAACATTGAAGAGGAACAGGTTCTGTTAATGGAATTGGCATAAAGACTGATTAACCAGTCGTTGTAGTTGTCCATTGTAGTTGTTCCTAGGTTTTTAAAAATGGCGAGCACCGGCACTGAATCGAGATGTAAGGCCACATAGACAGCTGGAAAGGCATACCAAGGACCAATCACAGCTGATTTTTGTCTGCGCACTTCCGCTTGAGGTTTGTGCAGCTTTGCGACCGTCCGACGCGTAGTCAGGATATTCTGAGGTGCGCAACGACTGTTGCAGAGCCTCTGCGCGGGGAGTGCGGTCGCGTACAGACACAGATTTGACAGTAGCAGAGGCTATGCGTCAGAAGCATAAATCGGCCTTTACTATCCATATGTAAATTATTATCTCATGTAAGTCAGTCATGTAAGTCATGATTTTCTCATTTAAGTCAGTTGTGTTGAGTACCCCTGTGCATCTACCTCTGTCTGCTGGCAAAATGCTGATATTGTTATCTATACCTTGAGAGGTAAGCCCCAGGATTTCCTGTTTGATAATGTTGGAAATGGGCAATTTTGCACTAGAGTATGCAGCTGTAACTTTCAACCAAAGTTTTTCCACTTTTCCCTCTGCCATGTTGTTATTTCTGATTGCTGATAGTGGCAGTAATCAGTTCTGTTACTGGAAGTTGCTTAGTGGTTACTGCAAAAAACTGAGAGCCTCCGAAAGAACATTCAGTTCTGACTGGGTAAATTCTCTATTTGAGAGATTTTTTTTTTTTTTTATCCACAGGCTTTAGGTGACTTGGTGTGAATTGTCCCCATGTTCATGTCTGCAATCTGCTGGTAACAGAGGTGTCCCTCATTTCCACTAGAAGAGACTGGAATTTAAGCTTTTTGTATTTAGTTGCTCTTCAAGTTTTGTGTGAGCTGTGGCTTTTCAGTGAAACCAATAACCTCTTGCAGAGTCGCTTCTGGGAGATGCTCTGAAATTTGGACATGGATTTTACCTCTTCTCTTTGTGAGTGCATCAAGAATAAAATAAAATCACCTTATATTTTGCTGAGGAGCTGGATTTGCACTCTCGAAAAGATATTTTCTGCTCTGTGCCCTTTGATTGTAGACTTAAGGCGTGTGCTGTTCGGAAACTGTTTTTGTTCCCAGTCAGGCTGGTCATGGCAACAAAAAAGAGGCTTATTTGCCTTCCAATTTAAGACATTTTCAATCCATAAACAGCAGCAGTACCCATCTCTACATTCTGATTCCATTGAGTCTTAGTTTCTTTAACTCAGGTTCAGAATCATTCTGATGCCCATCATCTGATCAATGATCAGCCTTGTGACTATCAATAAAACCAACTATATGCCTGTGCTGCTTATTTTCTAATTGTCTACATTTGTTTGTATAACAGCACTGTAAAGAAAAATGGTTTACTTAAACTTGTTAGAACAAGTATATCCACAGTGAGGAAAATTATTTTTTGAACATCCTGCTATATTGCAAGTTCTCCCACTTCCCACAATCAGGGATCTGAAATTGTCATCGCAGGTGTATGTCCACTGCAGACAAGATATAATCTTAAAAAAAAAATAATGCCTTCAAAATGTCCACCTCCACTCCATTTATTATCCTAAATTAGATGCACCTTTTTGAGGTTGTTAGCTGCATAAAGACACCTGTCCACCCCATACAATCAGTGTGAATCCAACTACTAATTTGCCCAAGACCAGAGACCTGAAAAGAGCTAGGACCACTGTTTCCAAGGTTACTGTTGGTAATACACTAAGGCACGGAAGGTTCCCCTGCTTAAACCAGCCCATGTCAAGGCCCGTCTTAAGTTTGCCAATGACCATTTGGATGATCTAGAGGAGTCGTGGGAGAAAGTCATGTGGTCAGATGAGACCAAAATAGAACTTTTTGGTCATAATTCCACAAACCATGTTTGGAGGAAGAAGAATGATGAGTACCATCCCAAGAACACCATCCCTATTGTGAAGCATGGGGGTGGTTGCACCGTGTTTTGGGGGTATTTTTCCGCACATGGGACAGGGCAAGTACAGTGTATTAAGGAGAGGATGAATGGGGCCATGTCTTGACAGATTTTGGGGAACAACCTCCTTCCCTTAGTTAGAGCATTGAAGATGGGTTGAGGCTGGGTCTTCCAACATGACAATGACCCGAAACACACAGCCAGGATAACCAAGGAATGGCTCTGGAAGAAGAATATCAAGGTTCTGGTGTGGCCAGTCTGCAGACCTAAACCCAAAAGAGAATCTTTGGGAGTTCAAACTCAGAACCTGACTGATCTAGAGAAGATCTGTGTGGAAGAGTGGGCCAAAATCCCTCCTGCACTGTGTGCAATCCTGGTGAAAAACTACAAGAAATGTTTGACCTCTGTAATTGCAACAAAGGCTACTGTACCAAATATAAATGTTGATTTTCTCAGCTGTATTAAACAAATAGTAAAAAATCATACATTGTGATTTCTTAAATTTATTTTTTTTAGATTTTGTCTGTAACAGTGGACATGCACCATCAATGTCAATTTCAGACCCCTCCATGAATTCTAAGTAGGAGAACTTGAAAAATACCTGGGTATTCAAATACTTATTTTCCTTACTGTACATTGAGATAAAAGCATAAAACTAGGATCGGAGAAACTTTGTCTAGAAATCCTTGTACGTTCTGGTAGCATACCTTTCCCAGACGGCTGAGGCAGAATGAATCCTGGCAGCAGGAAAGGGGCTCCGGTTGTGAGGCCCGCAGGTTTCAGCTCCGTCACACCGTACGTACACAGACAAGTGACCAAGTTCACCAGGTCCTTTAGTGCATCTTTAGATTCATCCTCTTTAGCCTGTTCTAGTCTGGAAACAGAACATTTTTTGTTTGTTTTGGGGTTTGGGCAATTTGAGTAAATGTGTGAACAACTAATAAAAAACAAAAAACAAAACCAAGGGTTTGGAGGCTGTACCTGAGCATGAGATCGCAGAGGAAGGCGTAGCCCTGGCACATTCTGAAATCATCCAACAACGTCTGCGATACGTCGCTGGAGTCTTTGAGGAAGCATGACAGGCCGGCAAACATCTCAACGATCTCCAGCGGGGAGAGATCGTCAGACTGCTGCATGTTTTGGACACATGTGGACAGACATTCCTTCTCTGGAAAGAGATGGAGGGTGGAGAAGTTGGGAGGAAAACATGAAAGTTATTAAAAACATACTGCCTGTTTGCTTTCATCATGATTTCACAGAAAGTTCTTTTTTTTTTTTTCTACCTGCCTTCATGTAAAAAAAAAAGAAGCTGGAAATTCCTTTTCAAGAAAGTCACATGAGTATTTTTTACTACTTCTACCTTTTTCATGGATTTGCTTTTATCCTTCAAAAGCCTCAGGTTTCCTGTTGGTTTTTAAACTGAGCTGAAACATGGTGAAGAGTCGGTTTTCATCATGACCATCACCTTTGGAGCAACCTCCCTAAAGCCTAAAGGAGAACAGCTGTGTTGCTGAATTAAAAGAAAAATTCTCAACTTTAATAATTCATTATCAATTGCTATTTTATTGCAAATCATTATTTTATTTTATCTACTTTTAAAACTTTTTTTCTGACTATGTGTTTTAATTTGTAATATTTTCGATTTCAGCAAATATATTGATCTTTATTCCTCTTTACAGTCTATTAATGTTGTTATATTACAGCTATACTTAATAATGACATTTTGCACACTTACTATTTCTAAGGTGTATAGTGTATTTAATCCATCTACCCTCCTGTTTTGGGCTCCTTCATAGTACAAGGATCAATCGGTAAAAGTGAGAAAAATCCCACCTACGTTCAGCCCGATTTTCTTTCACCCCTAGATTTTTACAACGGACTGAACAACATCATGCATTGGCAACAAATCCTTCCTCTAGCAATGCACTGATGGATGAGAAGAAGCAGGAATAATAAAAGGGTTTCTGCTGCTATGCTGTTGTTTACATGTAGGAGTATACGTCACTTTTCCACCAAGCCAAGGTTCTCTGTCACCCTGTATTACAGCGTAGTGAGAGGCTATGTTAAAATTTGTCTCAGTATGCTGACATTCAGTCTGCTACACTCATTCTTTATGAGCTTATCAACCCTTTGACATCTAGGTTCCCTTCCCTCAATGCTTGTTACACCGACATGTTTTAAATGGCACAGAAATTAGGCCGATACATTGACTTTAAATAAGCTTAACAGCTGCTGACACTGTTTTTTTAAACACATCCTTATAAGGGCAAACAAGAAAACATGAACCCTGCGCCCTTCAGATGCTGTCATTCATTCTCCCTGAGTGTTACAGGTAGCTGAATGCATGCACTACAACCCTGCTAGCAGATAGAGATTCAGCTTTGAAAGAGGGATGAGGTCTCCAGGTTTGGAAGGATTCTGGTCTAATGAGCTGAACCGATGATGATCGGAGCTTTTTTTCCTAGCCAATAAATAGCAGCATGAGCTGCAGCTGGGTCAGAGCAACATTTCTGGGTTGCTTTTATTTGAGCATCATAAATGTCCTACCATGAATGTATTTGACCACATTGACGCTGAGTCCGTGTCGGGAGATGGTGCTTAGCACCTCGCCTGCACTCCTCCTCCAGGGCAGGTTGTGAGGCGGGCACCAGGAGGTGATGGCACTGAACAGCAGCTGCAGGTCGTCCTTCTGGGCCAGCTCCTCCGCCGGAGACACAAAGGTGCAGAGCTTCACAAGGATCTGTTGAAGCAGAATGGAATCTAATTGGAAATGTTCTACCCTTTCCAAGAGTGGGAACATCTTTCATCATGAGGAAAGTTTCCTCCTGCAGCTGGCATCATTGATCTCCAAAACACTTTAAATCAGCAATAACATGAGCTAAAAAGATCTGCAAGTTGCTTCTTCTCAGGTTAGTTATTTGCCACATTTAAGTGGATCTTAGTTTGATTTTTTCCCTTTAGACCAAAGAGCGTAAGCATTTTCTACAAACGAGAAAAATACAAACACCGGGCCAATTAGGCTCTAACAAATTTCTGTTCTAAAAGTCTGCTTGCACGTTTTTGGGCCTTGATGGTTATGATGAAAGAGATTAACTGATTGCTGAAGGAAAAAAAAAAAAGTGGTTGTAAAAAATTTTTTTAGTTTTTTTCTACCTGGACAAAGACTTTCTGCAGCAGAGCCCGGCGGTCCGCCAGTGGCAGCTCTGGCTGAGTGTGGGCCTGGCCTGGAGTCTTCTCCTGGTTGGGTGGGGGTGGTGGCGGTGGAGGGGTGGGGCCTGGAGGGGCGTCGGTCATATGGGGAAGGTCAAAGAACAGGTAGAGGCATTTGACCAGTGTGGAGGGGACGGACATGGTTGTCATGCAGTCCACGGTTTTCTGTTGAGGGTCAAACAAAAGAGAAAGGCTGAATGTTAATTAAAAAGGAGTCAGACTCAGAGGGAGCTAACCATAGAGAAAAACATGTCAACACTTTGTGGTAAACTTCCACACATCCAAACAGAAGGACTTTCAATTTAATCATTTAGTGTTTTAAAACATAAAAGAAAACCATTCCCCCTAAATCTTTCTCTTTAATCCTTGTTTTTTCTTTTTTTTTTCTGGAAAAAATAATAAGAAAACAAAACTAAATGTAATTTTCTTTGATCTCTCACAATGGGAGTATAACGTTTTTTTTTTTTTTCATAAAATAACAGTTATCATTTTCAAAAATAAATATATAACCAGATCAATCCAATTATACAAATAAAATGACTTACTTTCCTAATCAAGTCTGTGTTATAATAAAGTACAGTGAAATAGAGTTTATGATGCGGGGTTAGGCCATATTGATGCTACTAATGTTAACTGTTGGTAGTAGGGTCCTATAGTGGTCCCATATAGTTTACTGTTTTCAGAGTCCCAAAAATGCTGCCATGCTAACAACTTTAAAGTTATGCCAACTTCATCATAGCTTTGTTGCATGGTGTTATCATACAAAATACATATTAAAAAAGGAAATATTATCCTTGTTTATTCACTATTGCACACATTGACCTGCATTTAGAGGTTTCTGATCAATTCTCCTGTGTGCCGATTGTAACTCAGGGTTGTCATTTCATTCCCACCTTCCGTTTCACACCACTTTAACTTAAAACATTTCATATCGATTCATCATTTCCTGCAGCTCGGTTTCTACATGAACTAAAGATAACAATTTCTTTTCAATTAAACTCACAAGTCTGCAATTCATGTGATGCTATAGCCCCATCATTGAGACATTGATATCAACTCACAAAACAACTCAGACATGATTTTAGTTCTCAGATCCCAAAAAGCATTCTTTTAAATTATAAAAATGATTACAACAGATCACCTGTTTACTGTGTTGAAGAAGACGATGTGGGTCGATGATTTCATTTTGCTTTGATGTAATTGGATTGTGTAACATTGCTTTAATGTCTAGATGTGGTTCCATGTATTTTTCACAAACCCTAATAAATTTGTCCTCAAAATAATCAGATCTCATATGATATTTTTTTTCTATTTCAAATGCGTTTTATTTTTGAAAACTGTGTATTTCACTCTTAATCCATCCACTGTGGCTCAGATATCTGTTTGGCTTTGTTAACCCTAAGAAAGCAGGAGATGATGAGCTCTAATTACAGCAAAAATGTCTCCAAGCAACCACCTGCTTCGAGATAATATGTACTGGGAAAAAAGCACCCAAAGTTCACAGCATCAACACATTTTGGCAGGTATGAACTGACCCCTTGTTGGCATGAAATGCTGGGATTTTATCAGAATATTTCAGGAGCCAATTAAACAAAACTACAAAGGAAGAAAACGGTGAATGGGAAAATGTCCAGCTCCCATCTGTGAAATAATTAAAGCAATTTAAAATAGTTTCCAGAATTATTCTGGTTTGCGTAAACAGCCAAATTAGCTGAGCAGTAGGCGTATTCCTCCACATAACAGAAATAAAGACTGAAACAGTTTTTTTATATTTAGTGTGACACTGAAAATCGCTTTTTTTTAATATATGTGGGTTCTTTGCCGAGGAGCTGTGAAGAAAACATAAGTGAGAGTTGCCATAATAGCCTGAAGAGTGTTTTGTCACAAGTGCGTTTTACAGTTTGCGTGATGATGGGAAACTAGAGGTCTGTATGAAGAGATGAGATGAGATCTGTGCTCGCTCAGGCGAACCATTGGTCTAATAAAACGCAGCCTCCTACACATGCTGGAGAAAAAACTCTGTGACTAAATCACACACTTTCTAAATGTTGATAACTGTCACATTCAGACACAAAAAAAAGACCTTTCAGCTGATCGATAAAGGATTGGTGGGAGGGAGAGAAAAATGGTGAAATGAAAAAAAGGCCAGAGAAGATGGAGGATGGAGAGTCAGCATAATAGAAGAATGGAGCCTCACCTGCAGAGGCCCAAGATGGAGAGGTGTGTGCGGATATTTACAGGGGGAAACTGACAAATTAACTCTGCAACAGCAGGAAAACCACACAGACGAGTGGAGAAAACACATTGAAAGAGTCACTCTGTGTCAACAAGAGTGAGACGCAAGGAGACTAGCAAGGCCGTCCTATGAAAGCCGGGTGTGTGAGAAAAGAGCTGTTTTAGCAGGTGAAACAAGAGGAGCAGGAGGCGAGACGGAGAATAAGAAAGGTTTACAGAAAAGCTGCTAGAAGAGTCCTTGGAGGACCATCTGAGACCCAAAGAAAGGATCAAATTATGATCTTCACTCTCGCACAGACAAACACAGAAATAGCAGAAAATATGGTAATTTTTCTAATAGTTTTTATCATTTTTTTTATATAACACTTTTCAAAAAGTAAATTTTTATTATTCGAAAGACATCACACAAAAAAACTGATCCTTACTCGCATATCTACTCTATTTCACACCAGATATAACATTTTATGGTATTCTTATACAATATAAGCTGAGCTCTAAGACTAAAGACATACTAAACCCTTTTATTTAAATGAATTTAACAACTGTTTTTCCTACTATCGCTCTCATGTAAGTGAACCTAAGTATTATTGTTCCCATTATATCTACTGAGTCATAAAAACAGCCTGATCCAAAACATTAAGGTTATTATTTCCACTTTCTAGAAAAAAAAAAAAGTCCTTATTGACATTTTGACTGTATGATTCGGTAAGTGAGAGTTTTTATTTATTTATTTAGTGACGTGCAAACACAGTTCAGTCCCAACTCATTTATACCCTTAGCAGATTTAGATAATCTGATTTAGAAAATCTTTTTAAATCTGCCAACAAACGTCTTCAAACAGGAAACTATATTAATGTTTAGGAGCGAGCCAGCAGGAGTCCAGAACTAAATCTGATACAGAAAACGCAAAAAGGAGGCTGATTTCCAGGATGAGGCTTGATAAAAACAGAATAATTTGTAAGAATAAAACTTCATTTTTATTTAAAAAGAAACTTGTTTTATTTTCTAAAAGAAATAAAGTTCCTGCTTGAATGAAACAATATTACGTTTGGGCTCAACAGACTGTAGAAATGTCATGACAGCAGTTCTTTTAACTAGAGCCAGATGAGGGTTTCTGCCTCTGGTTCATAGTCTCAGCTATGAGCTTCTTTACTTATGAGGTTTGAACAGGGCCAATGTTTTAAAGAAACTTTTTGTAAGGCAGCATCATCAGAATTGACATCAGTATCAGTCATATGGAAGATACAGTATGTACTGGATGTTAGACGGTTAAGAATTTAAACCATATCAACAAACTAAAATGAACAGACATATTGATCATCATTTAACTCAGATACAAACACAAAACATTCACCTGTAGCATCATTAAAGAAGCATATAATTCAGTTCGATTCCTTAAGCATCTAAAATAAATTACATGTAAAAAGAATGCATGATTTTTGCTAATTTTTTGTTTGTTTAGTTCAAAGGGTATGTAACTTAAATCATTTTGGGAAATACTTGTTCTGTTTTATTCCATTTCAATAGATACTACCTATTAAGAGCATATATACATGTTATATTTAATTTTGTATTTAAAGACTCGCCCTCTCCACTCAAAAATGCACGTGCACAACCTAGTACCCGCTCATGAGATGGAACGCCTATTAAAAGGTATGTGAGAGCGTGCACAAGCCCATTTTTTCTCGCGCATGCTCTCTCTAAAAGTTGCGGTTTGCATCGCTCATTTAAGCTTGCTTTCCAAAAGAACATTTGCAATTTTTCCACTATGTCAACCTCACTTTTAGTAAGTGAAAATGGGGACTAGCATGTAGGACAGCCTTACGTAAAAATTAAAGGATGATTGACAATTAGTTGGACCACTTATTTTGATGATCCACCCAGAAAAAGAACAACATGCAAATGATTATATATATATATATTTTTTTACAATTGTATATAGTTACTGCTCTAAGTGGGTTGCTCTGTCAGCTATACGCATGTTTTAGAGTCTCTATACAGTTAACAATTAATCGATTATTCATGATTAATCTAATTAATCCAATTAACTGTTTATAATATTTACATTAGGAACAAAAAGGAAATTTAAAAAACATTTTAGAAAATGCTAAAGACGTGTTTTCTGACCATGCTGGGCTCTGATATTGCAGGCTCATGGTATCAGTAAAGAACAGACATACAAAGCAGAATGAGAAAGCGGTCCATCACATGTCTTGGAGAGCGTGTTTGAGTGGGAAACAACAGCGGTGAATTTCTGTTGTGCAACAGAGCAGGAAAAGCTCCCAGCCGTCTCACGCCAGTGCTCAACAAAAAAACCCTTCCAAGGAATTCCTTCTGAAAAGTTCAAAAGTTGTTTTTTTTTTTTTATGTCACGAGCATTGCATTGCATTTTGGGAAGAAAGAAAACATGACATGCATCTGTTTTGCCCTAATAAATTCTGCTTTCTGGAAAGTGCTCAGTAAAAAAAAAAAAATCACCAGAAAGAGCAATTGAACAAATCAGAAAACATGAGAAATAAAGGTTTCTGACATTTAGAGCAGGACCAGACACATCCTAAGTGTGAACATTTCTGTGTGGAAACAATAACCCTGGACACCCCATCCCCACTTTGACATGGTAGAGGCACCATTATGCAATGGGATATAGGGCTGTAACAGTTCATCAAAGGATTCAGGGACCTTGATTTCTAAAATTCATTGAGGCTACTCATCCGCCTCAATGCTTTGTGTAACGTAACAAGCAATGTGTTCTGTGATGACAGGTACCGCTAATGATTTCCTGCTGGGTGGATGCAAAGTGCCACTATCCGTAATAAAGGGACAAAAAGCCAGAAAAAGAAAGTTTTAAAAGTGTCAGTTTACTTTAAAATTCAAAACCAGAAAACTCTGTAGTTAGCCGGCTAGCGACGACCGAGCTTTGGTCGTAACAGCTTAGGGCTTCAGCGCTACTTAAAGCTTTTATCACTGCAAGCACTTTCAACACAAGTTTTTTTTTGATTGGTCAGCTGCAGGACCGTACCATTATGTTAAAACATAGAGGGATTCAGGCAGCTGCAGCTGTGAGGATAGTTTTTTTTTTTTTTTTTTTTTTTTTTTAAAGCAGGTTACCTTTTTAATAACTTGTTGTCTTTGTTGCACCAAAAATAAGAGTGTCAGTGACCCTTAAGCTAGAAGAATTCTGTTTTATTTACATAGATCTATGCTTTATAATGCAGAAAGAAATAAAAGTCACAGTACGCAAGTGCAAATTTATCCCCCCCCCCTTTTTTTTTTTTTTTTTTTTTTTTTTTTTTACATTCTCATTTCTGCACAGAGGAGGCTTGTATTAATGTTTAGTCAAACAGAAACAGCCCAGCTTTGTAAATATTGATGCCGGTATTTTTTTATTTTTATTTTATTTTTTTGCTGCAAATGTATCTATTTTTTTCTTGATCAAAAAAAGGAACTGAATGTTTTGCATTTTTGGTCAAGTTTCCTGCAGCTCATAAAATAAGCTTATGTAACTGAGTGGACAATCAACAAAATGTGACTTTTTTTTCAGCTGATTACTCTATTAGGTTTAATATTAAACGATTACTAAAATAGCAGAAGGGAGGAAACTGTTCTTAAGCAGAGACTGTTGCAGGGATACTGTCTGAATGAGCCTTAGCTATTTGTAAGGAACAAATAAATATAAAATTAAAGAAGATATAAATTTATGAAAGGATGCTTTACAAACGTAAGCAGAATGTCTTTTGGCAGGGTTTAATAAAGAACAGCGTGAATCAACAGCACGTTTAAAAGAAAATCTGCATTTAAAAAAAAAAACTTTTATTTTTTTTTGCCAATAATATGTTGATAAGAAGACATAATGTATATATCTTTGTGAACAATAAATCTCCTAGGAAAAAAAAAAAAAAAAAATGTTTTTCACTCGACACAACTCCCCTCTGTTACAAAAACTAATGATTGCTTTGAACTAGAGCTCTGACTCCGTAACCAACAAATAATCTTTCTTTTCCAAAATATTAAATGTTGTTAAGGTAACTCGCTTCTTTTGAGTCCTGCTGGTGGTTTTCTGCATACGGGCCAAAAAGATCATCTTAGCATCCTAATGTAGGCTCTCTGAAATTGTATTAGTGTGTGTGCACTTTGGATTTGGAGGAAAATAATGAAGAAATAAAATCATTATTCAGGTACTTAGCAAACGCTATTAATTTTGTGAATTTATGCTGATAGGCAGAGATCCATCTTGTTAAGTTTGTGGTTGGAACGTGATGGATTCAAATTGGCCCACTTTACTTTTTCCTGTGTGCTGATTAACTGGACTGTTAAACCAGCCCAGTGGTCTCCTTACTGACCTGTCCAGAGGAGGCCAGCAGGTTAATGGTAGTCAGAAGCATCCAGCCACGACTCGCCTCCTCGCTCTGGTTCACCTCCAGGAACTGGACTATGGCTCGACTGGCCGCTTCTGCAGAAAAAGGAACAAAATCATGTGGTGAAACAGATGGACAGTGACAGCACAATGTTGCAGACAGATGGCCGCCGCGACGTTAAACAGATCTGGAGAAATCGTTGTGCTGGACGTGACGCGGGCAAGAACACAGCTGAAGGTTCCTGGTGTGTCTCCAGTAACCCCAGATATAAGATAGAATCAAGCCCAAAACAGGAGCTTAACTGGAGCTGCCCATTCTTATGACCAAACGGATAAACGACCAAAGAAGACAGAGAACTGCTGACTCATTATGACATCCTGACTCAGTCTGCAGAGGGCTGCAGACCAGCTGGAGAAGTCTGTTACTAAGTTAGAGATGTTTTCTGCTTGACGACAACACAGAGAGAGGGGGTGCGTGTGCAGGCGTTCTGTGAGGAGACATAACTGCTGGAGTTCAGGGGATATGATTCCAGTCACATGTAGAGTCACACAATTAGGTCTGGGTTAAAAAAAAAATCGATTTAATCGATTTTGAATCGATTCCTTTACATTTTTGCAAAATCGATGTGTAGGGGATGAGATCGATTAGTTTTATAGTGATGTGCGTGACATTCACATTGAAATGAGCAGGCGTGTGCAAATGCTGACCCAAGTAACACACTGCTCAAAAAGCTGTCCAAACAGAGGTCTGATGTCTGGAACCATTTTGGATTTAAAACGGCTAAAGATAATGTGCCGGATATATGACATTAAGGCGACTTCCCACTACATTGATAATGAGTGGCGCCTCGCATCTTATGCTACAGACCACCAAGATGACTTCAAGCCAGACAGCTGCAGATATAGCCAATAGGTGGACTGAAGGTATTAAAAAAATGGGGGCTAATCAGCACACAATTTTCACTTTTCACAAACAGGTTTGCACTTTTCAGACAGCTTTGTTCACATCTCAAGTTTAAACTGTCTGATTTACAAGTTTGCACTTTGTGTTTAATATGACAGGAAGAAAAATAAAATACATGAGTATTTTGAAACACAGTTGAACCATTTTCATTACTGTAAAAATAGATTGAATCGAAATTTATCGATTTAGAACGGTATGAATCAAAAATGGAATCGATTCAGGACTTTGGTGAAAATACCCAGCCCTACACACAATAGACAGAAAAAAATGTAAAACACAACAGATACAATCGAGGGGAGAAGAAATTAACAGATAAAACAAAAGAAAATGAACCAATGATGGCAAAGAGATGTTTGTCTTTTTTTTCATTAAAAATTAAGATAGTTCAGTGGCAGGTTGGTAGCTGGGAGTCGGGGGTCTTACCTGTGGATTTATTGGAGGCTCTGCGTCTGATCTCGGTCACCATGAGTCGGGACACCTGGGTGGTGAACTGCAGCAGGTCGGAGAACTTTTCCATCATGCTGCTGGGCGGAGCGTTTCCAAACACCTGAACCAAATGAAACAGAAACAGATTTTTCACTTAGCTTTTTTCTATAACAGCTTGAGAAGAATGAATGTGTAGTAGGAGAAACATGAGGGCGGCTCTCTTGTTTTACTCAATATTTCATGTAAGGCTTTAAGGGAGAGCGGCTCGAAGATAAACCACACTTCATCAAATAAAGACTCCTCGCGTGTCTTCAGTAAATCTGACAGTAAAGTAGGTCTGAAGAGACCCGCTGTATAGGAGCGCCACTGAAATCTGACAACAAATCTTGCCGCTGCTGAGTGAATCAATGCCCGTGATGGATAATTAGCTGGCAAGTCAAGGTTTCTTAGCGTTGTTCTTGAGCCTGATGAGAAAAACCCCACCATGCCTCCTGCAGAGGTGGCTAAAAAACCAAAAGTGGAAGATTATTTAATAACGACTGCATGAAGGAGAGCAGGAAAAACTAACCTCATTCCACTGAACATGATGCATTCTCATGTTCTCAGCTTTTATATGAATACGGGGGGAAATCCCACTAATTTAAACCAGTACTGGCAGACTGGTGCAGCCAGAAGGAAGATAAACATAACACTTAATCCCTTTCACCCATCATGACGGATGTCAGCCTTACAATAAGATTTGTATTTATTGACCCGCCTCTTGATCAGCTTGGGCCTCTCTGGAGGATAGATCTGACTCACCCGGTTAAATACAGGAAGCATCATGTAGAGCTTCTCCTCCTGCTCCTTCTGGGTCATGTGACGAGGAGGGTGGCACAGCTCGGAGAAGAGGCGTCGCAGGTGCATCAGGCCGAGAGCGTTGTCCTGCGGGCTGCACTCCTCCTGCCGCGGCCGCCCCATGATCCTTTTCACCATGTTCATCTTGAGCGGCTTTGTCAGGGCAAAGGCAGCCCTGTGGGGGGGAGACACATAATGAAGGTTTAATGTCTCACAGCATGTTTTTCAATACAGACATGGACGGATTCAAATAAGAGACTGACGATATTAAGAAAAATAAACCTTCTAAGCAGAAACGCTGTTTCTATTCTAACACAGCTTGATAAATGACACCGAAACATGTAAGAACTAACTAACCCTAACTCGGTTAGCTCGTTTTAACAAATTAAAACACTAGCCTCAGTAGCAGCTCCAAGTTGGATGATTCTGTGGTTAGTAAGGTCTGATCTTTTTTAGCGCTGCCCAATATGTAACAGATAGTCACATTCATCATCGCATTATCAGTGCATGCAGCACTAGCTTGGAGTGCAGTGGTTGGTGGCTAATTACATTCACTTGCATTTAAATGTAATGTTCATTGATTATTTAACATATGATAACAAACTATATATATATATACACCATTTTTTAAGAGTTCCAGGTCAGTAACAGTCAACATTTCACACTACAGTGATTATTGATTCAACCAGCGCTGTTTACGGCAGGGCTGGAACAGATCAGCAGGAGATGCAGTCATCCTTTTCCTACACTTCATGCCTTAACACCTCAACCACTCTGTGGCAAACATTATCATCCTAAATGATGACTTCAGCTTTTAATAGCCTCAATCTGACCCAGGCAACATTACTAGTCTCTGACATGGATCATCAGCTTCCAGGCTAACTGGCAGTAAAGCAGCTTGGGATGCATCCTTTTCCGCCCCAGGGCCATCAACACTGGAGCCCCCCCTGGGTGTGTCCTCTCCCCACTGCTTTTTTCTCTGTATATAGATGCTGTACCTTAGTGGACCTGTGTGTGAAAATCCATACGTTTGCAGGTGACACCACTGTCACTGGTTTGATCCAAGACAACAACATATCTGCATGCAGACAGGAGGTAAACCAGACCTGCTCCAATGGTAAATTTAGACTGACTAGAAGCTTCATCCACTAAAAATGGAACAAACCCCCTACTGCCCCCCCATCTAATACTTGGATGTGGTCATCACAGATAGACTCTGTACAGAAGATGGTTTTGCAGAGATCGTTCTTTTTAGAACAATTTAGGAAGTGCAACTTTCCACTAGTCATCTTCTACACCACTAATGTTCAGTTTGTTTAGTGAACATCCATCTTTGTGTGGATTGGCTCATCATCGAAAACAAACTACAAACCAAAAAAATTTTGTCTGCAAAGAGGAGCATCTAACTTGACTTTTCTTAAATCCACAACCTGAATCAGTCCAGAGCTAAAAAAAATTATCTAAGATAAACGACAAACAACACATGTTCTGGTCATTGCCTGTTAAAATGTTGCCTCCAGAAACACAAACACAAAATGGAAATAAACACTGTTTTTGCTTTTTTTCCATTAAAAATCCACATATATTTTACTTAGTTGACTGATAAATGAAACATCCAACATGAAACAAAGGTTATTGCGAAAACATTTATCTGCCCTACAATAAACATGTTTATTGTGCTTATCCAATGATGTTTTCATTTGCCGCCACCTACTCTTGACAGGGTAATAAAACAATGTTTAACACCATAAGGTTTTAATAAAACAACCAGTGATTTTTTTTTTTTTTTTAAATAGAAAGATTTCACCAAACAGTTATCCACATGAGCTTGTGAAAAAAAATCATAAACAATTGTAATAACATTCCTGGTCTACAGAGGGTGATATGTCTGCATTAAATATGTAATTATATCATAGAAGAATAAAGTGTGCATGGCTGTAAAGCCTTAGCCTGACGTAGTCCGACTCAATTCTAGTCAGAACATGAGTCTGATACTGCTCCATAGAGCTGTGATTATGGGGCGTGTTTCGAATGAACCAGGGAAAAAAATGCCTCTGCACTCAATTGGATAGACCTACAACCAATAAGAGCAACGGAGTGCGTGACGTATGTTAAGCGACCAAGGGAGCCAGCTGATAAATTAAACTTTTGCCGAATCCCGTAGGAAGGACGCCAAAAACATCTTTCTTTTCAACAAATGCCTTGATTGCGTTTCTCTGTTCCTCTTTTAAAATTAATTTGCTGTCGATATCTTCTAGAACAGACCTAATAGCAGAATCTACTCACCTAAACTCTCCAGCGGCAGCCATTATTGTTGTCACCCAAGCACACATTGGTCACGTGGTTGATTACGTGACTGTTGGTCATCTGTCCATCATCGTATAAAGCCCGCCCTGACAATTTGATTGGCCCGCCAGATATTGTACGATCATACTCCCGCTACTATTGAGCAATGCCAGACCGAACTTCCCGACCTCAAACCTTGTGGGCGGGACTAAGTTCGGAATGGCACCCAGGCTAGTAAAGCCTGGGGGTCCTGGTTAATTCAAAGTATCAAGTAGATGCAGTAAATAGGTTTTTCTGTTAATATAAAGAATTTGCAAATGACAAGAGATTAGATAAGGGTTTTTCTTTATTATTTCTTCCCAAAACTTTTTTTTTTTTTTTTAGAAAATGACAGGTTTGTAAGAGGTAATTTAGATCGCCTAAATGCATGTCATTGCAACATTATCCTGGAGCACATTTAACTTCCTGTCATTTAAGGACTGTTTTTGTGACAGTATAGAAATGGGCAAACAAACATCGCTGGGATCAATCCTGAGCTCCTCTTCCCATGGGAACGGTTCATATTCATTATATTCAGCTATTTGTTCCATTTGCCAACTTCTCTCTGGACTATATTAGCTTGTTGCTAGGAGATCGTGGAGCACTCGTTGAGCCTAAGTACAGTACATAAACATCCAATGATAAAACCAGAAACAGCCTGCTCTCAAGAACTGATAATTAAACTAAACCAGAAATCCTCCTTTTTAGCTTTTAGTTGAGATTACTTTACTGATGGTGAATATTTGCATTTTTTTATTCTTTTTTCTAGATTCAATTCTCGTTTCACCTCCCTAAAGTAATCTTATTTTCTCCAAGATATTTATATTGATTAGCAATTTAAACCCTTTTAAATTGTAACACATCTTCCTTTAGAGGCGGATAGATCCAACATTATTACTGTTTGTTTGTGTTTTCCTGATTTGATTTCCTTAGTTTTTTTCTGTCTCTGTTTTCAGGGTTTATTGCAGAGAATATTTGGTCAAATATGTTCTTTAGAATATGCTTCATATAACCTAATCCGTGTGGTTTAAATCCTGTCTTAAAAAGGTGCTAAATGCATAATATTCCAGACTTTGAAAGTTAAATGCAAAGATGGCTGGACAGCACTGAAAAAAAGTTATATCTTTTTAAAAACCTGTTGTAAATAAGTGAATTTCTAAACCAAGGCTTTGAATATATATTCAGAAACAACTTTAAATGCTTTCTTTAAACAGGGAACGTAATCATCTGATTACCAAATAACCCTTCAGACAGTCAACCAGCTGATCTGAAGCCTAGGGGTTATAAAAGCTGCAGAGTTTCATGAACTTATCGCCGTTCCTCTAACCGCTTTCAAACGGGAACAAGGAGAGCAACAGCATGAAAACATCTGACAGCTGTTTCTGCACAAACGTCTCTTCTGTGACGGTAACTCAAAAAGGATTTTAGAAAGCCGTTCTACCGGAAGCTTCGGCGCTGCCAACTGCATGAGCTCAGACCATTTAACACTCGTCATTTGCTGCTGTTTTATTCCCAGAATAGAACATTGGTCCATAAGGATGTTATGTTGGAGCTTGTTTTTTTGGGGGTTTTTTTAAAGCAAATGCTCTGTATTTAATTAGAGAATGCAAACAATCACAATGTCTGAACTGGGTCCTCTGGAAACAAACAAATTGGGTTTTAGACATCAAACAATTGCAGTTAGTCGGAGAGAAAAAGACCAGAAAGTCAGAAATGAAAGGAACAACAAGTATTGCTGTAATCGTGTTGTGAGTCACTCTGTTCTGTCACATTAGAGCTTTTGGCTTTTTTTCCCCCCCTGCAGCTTGGCCAAAGATTTCATCAGAAAATAACTAGAAACAGGATGGATGCTGCATTGGTCTCAGACACATTTTTTACACGCATGATGGAAATCAAAGCAGAAGACCTTAAAGGCGAAGGATTTGACATTTACAATACAGCGGGTGTCTGGAAGCAATATGCTGCACCGTTTGGCCATTTCTAACCTGCAGCCCTGCCTGTCTGAGATAAGGAATTAAAACAAGTCCAGCAATATAAGTCTGGGCTTTTAAAAGAAGGCTATAACCCTGCCTGGAGCAGATAGAGATTAAAGTTAAAGAGATGACATTAAAGTCACGTTAGCAGTGGAGATAGGCCTGAAGAGGCAGCCCTTGAAAAGTGCACCGCATGAAAGCTTTACCACACATAAAGACAGAAAAACAATATTATCAATTCTACTTTTAAAACCAAAAAAAAAAAAAAAGAAAAGAAACATAACAGCAAATCAGAGCTGCTGTCCCTCCAGCAAATCTAAAAATGTTTGCATATAAATGTGAATAACGATAAAGAGGCAAGACAGAGGCTGTGTCCGAATGTCCGCCCTGATCACTATATAGGGCACTATATAGTGGTTACACCATTTTAGATTTGTCTCAGAATGTCTATTTCAGGGGTAACCAATTAAAAATCACTGGGGTTCGAATAAAAAAAGCCAGTAAAGGTCCGGAGACATTTTTGATTATAAACTGTTACTTTAAATAGAATTTAACACTGAAATAAAATGAGGTTTTTATGCATACATGTTACAAATTGATTTTTAAATCTATTTTAAAATCTAAAGTGTTTTTTGAAGTAGAGATCACAATCATTCAGTTTGGTACAGAGAAAATTTCCTCATTAACATATTTTATAAAACACCTGAACTGACTGACTGTTATTTTTTTCTCTTTCTTTTTTCTGGCTTAATTGGAGCAGTGGGCTTTATGCTGCCCTGCAAGGCTTTAAACCTGGGTTTGAATGGAGACTAAGCCATTCTCAAGCACATATCAAGGTGCTCCTTTTGAGCCTGGATCCATATTTATTTTTGAT